GGCAACATTTACCTTTAATGTAAGCACTCAGAACTCATCACTGGGATTTGTCCTTTCCTTCTATGCATATTCTTGCCTAGCTGAAAGCATGCTGTATAAGTAAGTTAATATCCTTTCTTCACACTTCACATTATAACAAATATGTTTAATGCTTTGTAAATGTTTCAGTGGTGCAAAAAATTCATCTATGGATCATATCATTTGTTTAAGTATTCACATACAGGTGGAAATAAAGGCTTCAGGGGCATATTTTACTATTATTAACAGTTCCACAGTATGCATATTTATATGAACATAGGCTCTTTCAATGATTTTTTAATTTATTATTATCATAACTTCATTTATATTACATTGAATCACATATAACTTTATAGTGTATTACATTTCTTTTTCCAGAAAGAATACCATGCATATCAGTCAATACAAAGACATTAAAGTCCCCATCATTCTCATCAAATAACTTTTAATTATTTTTTCTACATGATGATTATTATTATTCCAATTATTTTTAAACATTCAATCAATATTTATCATTTTGCTTCTTTCAATGATTTCTCACAATTGATACAAAATAAGAAATTGGTTGATCAAATAATGTGAAAGTTTTAGACTCTTATTACAATTGGCTAAATTCTTTGGAATAAGTTTTCCATCAGTTTACTACATCAATGTGAAAGAATGCACTTTGTATCATCCTTCCTCAGCACTTGGTGTTAAGCTTGGTGCCACTGAGGACTTTTGGCGTGAGATTACACAACCGTATTTGCATCTTTAAAATTGTGTGCTGGAGGTCGAGCCAAGAGGGCCACACTTACTCTGCTATTATTGCCCTTGCTATTCCTTCTTTACTTATATATGCCATATAAAATCACACTCTGAATCATTGGTACCTAAGGTAAAACAGACACCTGGTATACCAGATGTCCCAATCCTAGATTCCATGTCTTACAGTAATTGTTTGGTTTGTCTGAACACTGACTTATTATTACCAAGAATAAATAAGAGCAGGGATGAAAGACCTTATTCTCTGACTGCCACAAGCTTGTGCCTAGCCCAGAGACCCTCTTCCTCTAGCTCTGGCCAATGAAAGTCTCTGGACAGTAATTCTTCTTAGGGAATTTTTTTTGTATATTTTTCAATGAAACTACCAAGTGAGTTTATTGCTAAATTAATCTATATTTCTACCCTGTGACTCTCCAAGCCCACTCATGATCACTCTTGTGCCTGGAATATCCTTCCTCCTTGCTCTGCTCAACCAAGCAAATTACATTTGGTTATTAAGACCTTCCTTAAATATCTGTGACATCTGCTGTCTGTACCTTGGCCAATCAGGATCACTCAGGCTTCTTTTATCCTTTGATTCAGCCACAGCATTTCTACACCTAACTCTTTCAGCCAACAGTTCTTCAAGAATAAAACATTTTTTATGCCTAGTTCTTAACACAATGTCTGGCACTTTGTTGTTACTCAGTAACTATTGAATGAGTAAGTGAATGAATGTGTTTTACTAAATTGCATAGATGTCCCATCTTAAATATTAATGAGTTGAAGATTGTAAAGACAATATGGAGATGAAATGAATTTCCAAAATCACACTCTGAATCATTGGTACCTAAGGTAAAACAGACACCTGGTATACCAGATGTCCCAATCCTAGATTCCATGTCTTACAGTAATTGTTTGGTTTGTCTGAACACTGACTTATACTCTGGTCTCTTTCATCTATATATATATATATATATATATAATATATATACATATATATATATATATATATATGGCATATATAAGGTGCTCGCACTGCACCAGACTTTATTACCAAGAATAAATAAGAGCAGGGATGAAAGACCTTATTCTCTGACTGCCACAAGCTTGTGCCTAGCCCAGAGACCCTCTTCCTCTAGCTCTGGCCAATGAAAGTCTCTGGACAGTAATTCTTCTTAGGGAATTTTTTTTGTATATTTTTCAATGAAACTACCAAGTGAGTTTATTGCTAAATTAATCTATATTTCTACCCTGTGACTCTCCAAGCCCACTCATGATCACTCTTGTGCCTGGAATATCCTTCCTCCTTGCTCTGCTCAACCAAGCAAATTACATTTGGTTATTAAGACCTTCCTTAAATATCTGTGACATCTGCTGTCTGTACCTTGGCCAATCAGGATCACTCAGGCTTCTTTTATCCTTTGATTCAGCCACAGCATTTCTACACCTAACTCTTTCAGCCAACAGTTCTTCAAGAATAAAACATTTTTTATGCCTAGTTCTTAACACAATGTCTGGCACTTTGTTGTTACTCAGTAACTATTGAATGAGTAAGTGAATGAATGTGTTTTACTAAATTGCATAGATGTCCCATCTTAAATATTAATGAGTTGAAGATTGTAAAGACAATATGGAGATGAAATGAATTTCCAAAATCACACTCTGAATCATTGGTACCTAAGGTAAAACAGACACCTGGTATACCAGATGTCCCAATCCTGGATTCCATGTCTTACAGCAATTGCTTGGTTTGTCTGAATATTGACTTATACTCTGGTCTCCTTCATTTAACTCCAAATTTAATTTGTGCCTAAGTAGCCCTATGCTAAAGGAAGGAAAGGAGATTAAATGATGCCAGAATTCCCCAAAGTATTCTCCAAAGAAAACTATTGCCATGACTGTTTATAGGTATCACACGAAAGAAGGGTTTGTGGTCCAATAACTTTTGGAAAACAAGTTAAATAGATTTCTTTACCTCAGGAGTTCTCAGTAGGCATTCTAGGAAGTTGAAAGAAAAATCAGTAGGCAATGGCGGAGAAATAGAACAGTCAAGTCTTGCCTCAGTAGCAGACAGGAGTCACCCTCGCCTCTTTATGTCAGGGAGTTTCTCAGTACAGGTTCAAAGGCAAAAAGTATACCAAGGCCCTAGTCATTGCCCTTTTCTCTATATTTATCTCCTCAATCCCGCATCTGTGTAAACCCCTGCCCCCCAACCTACCCATGCTGATGAGATCAGCCTTCATTACTTTTCTTCCAGAGCCAAGAAGCAAGGTAATGTGTGGGAAGTGATAGCTGCAAGGTAATGTGTGGGAAGTGATAACAACTTTAGAGTTAAAGCCATTCAACAGGAAAATTTGTTAAAAGACCAAGACATTGCAAAGCTGAAACACTTGAGTCTATTAAGTCTCCTGCTTCTTAGAACATTCTGTTACCAGGGTCTGTTGCAGGGAGGGAAAACATTGAACTATCACAGCACTGTCAGATACCAAAGCCTGGTACAAAGAGCAACATTTTATAAGATATCTGTCTCTGCCACTAGAATAACTTCTAAAACGTTCTGCTTTGCCCTTCTTTCTTCTACCCCAGCATAAATCCCCCAACTTCCTCACTCCTAGAAGCTCTCTATTCATTTCTCTCCTTCTTCTTCTTTTTATCCCCACCTTCACCCTATAGTCCACATTGTTTTCACACACACTATTAGAACAGCACAGTGAGTTAAGACTATCCAGTGGTTTATTCAACATTCTTTGGTAAGAAGGGAACTAATTAAGTGACTAGAGGTTTAGGCATTCCTTGTTTATTATGTCCAAACTCCTTCAGAGAGCCTGAAGCATTCTCCTAAACAAACATTACGCTCTCATAGCTTCTTATTCTGAGTCCAAATGAGATGGAGAGCTTCAGGAGCCAGTATCTTTTCATAGATACGAACAAAGAAGCACTAGAGAAGGAGAGTGGGAGTGTCGATGGATGTAAAAGGGGAAAGCTACGTGCCTGTCACATAAAGACTAACTCAATTTGTGTGTGTGTTGGCAGCTGATGGCGGTCAGTGATCATCAGTCGTTTAGAGGTAGCAGTGTTAACACATTTGTGATCAGCCCAATCCATCAAAAGAATGTTTTTGTTAAACAATAGTCTTCTAAACAAAAGAGCAAAAATATCTCCTTGCCAATCTCAACAAACTGTTACACTATATATACCAGGAGGCTCTTTAGAAGAGAGAAGCCACCTGCTAAATAAACAACCATTATCACAGACACACGTTTCTAGTTTGTGGATATTAATAGGATGTTACTGATTAGTCACAGTGAAAGATACTTTGGCCTTGATAGGCAAAGGAATGGAAGCTTTGTAAAATCTGCCTTTTTATTTTGGTTCTGTTTTAAATAAATAGCTTGTGTTATAAAAGTCAGTCTTGGGCCCAACATCAGCCATTAATCCTGTCATTGCTTTCAGAAGAATTGGGAGGCACAATCTAAGCCTTCAGAGCTCTGAGGGGAAAAAGAGAGAGAGACTTCTTCCAGGTGCTGAATGAGAAGCAACCACCACTGTGGTAGGCCATGTTCCTGACTGACTTTGAGCCTGAGACTTGTATTTTCTGCCCCTCCTTCCCACTATGAGCCCATAATAATCTAGTGTAGGTGGAATATTCTTTTCCTTGGCTTTCATTAGACACCTGGTGTCCTGAAAGAGGTCACTGATTCTCCTGAGGATGTCCGAGGAGGTTGGCTCACCAGTGGCTTACCACATCCAAATTTGAGGTTAATTAAGCATCAGTCATCATCACTGGGGCCAAGATGTTATTCAGACATTCAGAAAAGAGACTTAATCCAGCTACGGATAATAACCCTCATCAACATTCCTTCCTAGCCTAGTCCCAAACCAATGTGCCTTTAGCTACACTGGGAGGTTGAAAATTATTTCAGAAATAGCTGGTTCTTCATTTATGCTTCTCTACATTTGAAGTAGTTTCTTGATATGCCAACCTATTCATTGAATACATATTAATGTTCTGAATCAAAACTTTTTTTTCACTTGAACTGGGCTTATGTTCCTGAAATGATACACTCAGTGACTTTTGGGAAAATGTCCTATTCAGAATGAGTATGAGGAAGCTGTGTGGTGTGAGGTGAGGGATGCTGCTGGGTAAGTGTGGCTATCTAGAGACGAGACTTTCTTGCCAGAAGCAGTCTCAGAAACAAATGTGTCTGCACTGCTCTTCCTGTTTTACTCTGCAGACCTCAGTGACCAACTCCTGGAAGTGGTGGGGCTGGAGGGAGCCATGGAGATGGGGCAGATCTACACCGGCCTGAAGAGTGCCGGCAGGAGGCTTGCCCAGTGCTCCTCTGTCATTATCAGGTAAGCCGCCTCATGACCCAGCAGCCTCCGAGGCTGCCCACCTCCCTTAACATTCTTGCAGGCTAGAATGCCACAAGTAAGAAGCCATCTCTGGATTTTGGCACAGCACGAGTGATACCATTTGTCAAAAACATTCTTGTAGACCATTTCCCAAACAGGACATAATCCAGCCAGGTCATCAACCAGGGGATCCATCACAATCAGTTTGCTATTCTCTTAAAATGAGATGGTCAAATTCTTTAATAAGAAGAATAAGATTATGGGGTCCAGAGAGCCAGAGGTCCAACTCCTGGCCTTTTTAACTTTACCAATTAAAATGTTAGACATATGCCAGGGGCACACTCGGATATATAAAAAATAAAACACATTTCTGCTGTGTTCTTTCTTAGATAGTAGCCTTGGAAATACTATTTTCTGTATGCTTTTGTATGCTAAGCCGTCACTATCAGCAAACCTGTCATAATCGTCTGAAAGGATAACAGTTCTTCAGAGTAGGAACCTCACAGGCCAGCCGCAGCAGCTCCCAGAAGAGACAGGGTCTAGTGGACAGGATCCTCTGATTTCAATGGCCTCTGCATAATCAATGCACCCAGTCCCATTCTGGTTCAGATTCTATCAGCATGACTTGGGGATCTCCTACAGGGCACCACAGCATGCAGGGTTTCCCGAAGTCCTCGACCACAGCACCGTTTTCTCCCTGAATCTCTCTGGCATATGTCATCAGAGCATATCTGGGAGACTCCACACTTGGCCCTACCCCGCATCCCTCAGGAAGGTCCTCACCGCCGGCTCCCTGCATTCCACTAACCCCCTTTCTGCAGTCTCTCTCGTTTTCTCCTCTGTTTCCTCTGTTCCCCAGAGCTTTGCTCCCCTTCCTTTCTGTCATGGTGGCACCGTTTTCCAGCTCAATCTCCTTAGCCCTGTCAGTTCTCCAGGTCCTAACAGTGAGTAGGTCAGTGTGTTGGCACGTCTCAGCCATCGCCTGTGTAGAGCACAGAGAGCGCGGCATCGTCATCCCTGAGGGGTCCATCATGCCACATCTGAGGGAGGGCTTTTCTTCGTCGTCAGTAGATCTACTTCCAGATATAAACAGAGGAGTTGAGCCAGGAGCCCCATCTTCCTGGGCACTTTCCACATACTCTCCTTGGCCTCAACAACCAAAATGCCACTCATTTCATTCGTTTTCATCATTAGACTTATTGTTTTTAATATTAAATTTCCTTGAGGTCACTCAGGGAATCATCACATCAAACGTTCTCATTTTTAATTTTGAAACAGGACAGACAAGCCCAGGTGAGGCTTCCTGGCCAGTGGGTGGGAACCATCCCCTGCCCACCCAGACCAGCGGCCTCCAGAAGGCTCTCGTTTTCTCCCAGCCACAATGTAGAATGCATCCTGGGCTCTCCTGCAGAGGGAAATCAGACCTCCCCTCTCTCCTTTTAAGAATCCTTGTGCCGGTAACGCAGTTAGCATAATGGCCATGTTGCTGGACTCCCACGTAGTTGACCACGGTTCGCGTCCTGAACCCGGTGGCTTAAAACCCACACCGGGCGCGTGTGCGTGTGTGCCCAAGATCTTGAGAGGAGAATGGAGGAGAAGGGATTACTGCATGGCCATCCCCCCTGGGGGGGAATCCTTGTGCCATAGTAGCCCTGTCCCAAGCAAGGAAGCAACATTTTCTCTTCTCCTTTCCTCCTACCCATGGGGACGCTATTCCTGCATCACTTCCTTCCCAGTTAGGCCAGGTCCATAGTTCGTGCAACCCCAGACTGTGCTGTTCAGGAGATGAAAGAGGGGCTGGATAGGACTGAGTGAAAGCAAGACACACCCAGCACTGCGCCGTGCCTTGCATAGGTCGGAGACGTTACCTCACTGATGATGCAACTCCTCACTCAACAGAGGCCAGGCCCTCTCCCCCTTCACAGTGGAGCTTTTGGCATGAAGTGCAGGCCCTTTGTTCAGCCCTGGTGCCGCCATGCTGTTGGCCACTGTCTTCTGTGGATTCCACTTCTCACCCAGGCACTGTTTCTCCGAGTGGGATCTGAGGACCAACACAACAGAATTACATACACATAGCGCACAGGAAATGCAGATGCCAGGCCAGCAACAAAGCACAGTGGTAAGGCACTGCTCAAGAGAAGCCAGATCCCTCATGGATGGCTGGTTGAAATGAAATATGTCTGGTCAGCCTGAAATATGCCAGGTACACAGTCAATGCCCAAGAGCCAACGGGCTAGAGGACTGGAGGAAGGAGATAGTAGGGCCATGAGACCTTGTGAAGGGAGCTCCTCTCTCTACCCACTTTCACTCTCCTATGTGGGCATGTGCTCTGTCATGAATACACTGAGAAAGATGCAAATTCTTAGGTCTGGCCCCAGAACCTGCAACTCGAGGTCCTTGAGGTGGACTCAAGAGTTTTAAAAAGCTTTTATATTTTATATATTTTTTTTTAATTTTTAAATTTCTTCTTTGTAATTGATACCAAATTTTAGTATTTATGAGGTACGGTGTAATATTTCAATACATGAATGCCATGTGAGTGATCAAGTCAAGATAATTAGCATACCCATCACCTCGAGCATTTATCATTTCTTTGTGTTGAGAACATTCAAAACCCTCTTTCTATCTACTTTGATGTATGCAATAAACTATTTTGAACTGCAGTCACTCCGATGTGCTGTAGAACACTGGAACTTATCTCTTCTATGTAACTGTAATTTTCTACCTGTTAACCAACCTCTCCCAATCTCCCCACCATTCCCAGCCTCCAGTAACTACTATTCTGATCTCCACTTCTAAAAGGCCAACCTTTTTTAAATATTTATTTCATTTTATTTATTCATTCATTTATTTTAATTTGGCCAGAGAGAAAGTGAGAAAGCAAGCTGCCAGGTCAGGGACTCGAATCATGGTCGGCCATGTGGGAGTGTCCACCACCTTAGCCACCACGCCACCTGCTGGCCCCAAGGTCAACCTTTTTTGCTTCCATGTGAGAACATGCGGTAATTGTCTTCCTATGTCTGGCTTGTATCACTTCCTGTAACGTCCTCCAGGCTTATCCATGTTGCCAAAAATAACAAGATTTCTTTCTTTTTTTATAGCTGAATAATATTCCATAGTGTATATATGCCACATTTTTATTTGCCCACCAGGAATCTATTTTTAACAAACACTCTAGGAGAGCCTTAGCAAACCACTCCTAGGTGGGCAGGAAAGGTCTTCTCCCTTCTTTTTTTCTGGTGACAACAACCTCAATTCTCCAGCTCCAAGAAGCTCACTGTTTTCTCTGGGTCTTGGGGGGGTTCCAGGACTAACAAGCTACTGCCGATGCAGGTGGATGGAGAGCCCTGGATGCAGCCGTGTTGCACGGTGAGTTTTGTCAGTCTTTCAAATGGAGGTGAGAAGCCTCATTTTTAACCCCTTTTGGGCACAGACGATATGAAATCGCTGTCAGAGTTGCAGGGACTTTGGACGAGTATCTAGTGCAGCATCTCTTCCCCTTTCTTCATCCAGACACTCATTTACCTGACAGATTGTTACTGAGTGCCTGCCGCACACGGGACACTGCTGGGCACCAGCTATAAAACTGAATGAGACATAGGCCCATCTTCAAGGAGCTGACAGTTCCCATTGGTGAACTCTGAGACTCTATCCACTGTGTCCTTGACAGCATCAGCTTGAGTCATTCCCGCGGCAGGAAACTTACCATCTCAGAAGGAAGGCTGTACTGCACGTGCGCAGGACTAATGGTTAGCGAGAGTCTCCCTATGTGCTACCCAAATCCGCACACTCAACCTAGAACTTCCAGCCAGCTGTTCTGACCACTCAAGCCCCTGGCAAAGAAATCCCCACAGCACACAGATACGCTTCACCACGGGTGCACCCACAGCCCTACCTGGACACTCCATCAAAAGGGTCACAGCACGGGTTCTTTTTATTGCTTATGGCATTATCATCCAGGCCCTAGTACGGTGCCTGGTTTATGACAGCTGCACAGCAACATGTGATGAATGATGAATAAAGGGACGGCCAGATGAACACATAGAAGTAAAGAGGATACCTCTGTCCCTGACTTACCACAGCCGTCAGCTCTGCATTTAGCACTAGTGCAGGAGCCATGCCCCCCTCAGCTTGTTCTCAGAAACTCAGCTAGACACTCTGTGGCGAAGAAAACCCTTGTCCTCATTTCCAGGACCTCTACTGGGATATTCCATGCGTAATGCCCTCATTATGGTAAAAGCTATGCAAATTTCAAGTGACAAAAGGTGTGTTTCCAAGCTTCCTCACTCTAGTGGAGTATCCTGATGCCTCAGAGACCTGCTGTTCTGAGCCCTTCAGAACATCACGTTGTCTTGTACTGCGGAGAGGGTTTTCATGGGACTGCCGGAAAACAGATGGCATCCCCTATGAATGTTATAAAATAGAAATTTCAGGTCCAGTCACAGTAGCACTCATTGTCAAGATACTCTAAAGGCTGGGATCACAAGTGAGGCCTAGTTCAATTTCTACTCCAACCTGAAGGCCCAGTGCAGGAGCCTATAGTTTTGCTCAGAATCCTGATAGGAAGGAGGACTGGAGTTTGTGGTGTGGTCGGACCCCGCTATAGAGTTCTCACTCACGCTCTCTTTTCCTGCTCTCTCGTCCTCTAGCATTAAAAAAAAAAAAAAAAAGTTTATTTTAAATTAAAAGTTTAAAAATGTGAAATCTCATCACAAAAGAAATGTTGGTAAAAATTGAAACCAGTTAAATAAGAATAAAGCAAAAATAGGTTACACTAATATGTGGTTATGCAACTGGATACAAAGCAAAAATCATTCTTTGAAAGAAAAGATATGTAATGTTAACATTAATAGTCTGAATCTCAGACTAAGATTATAACAAAAACTAAAAGCTTATAGGAGACATTCTTGAAGACATACTAAAAATATACTAAATTTCTCATTGTCTCTCTTCTCTCTGATAATTAAAAAATATAAGTCAGGAGAAAAATCTAATAACTAAACAATCCCTAGGGAAACAAAAATTAGGGCATGCCCTTTTCCAATCTAAGAGAGTCTGAGATGCATAAATCCTATCAACAGAAGACAGAAAGCAAATAATAAGCCAATATTTACAATATTTTTGAAGTATGGAAGAGGTTACAACTTGAGCCAGCCCATGACATGGTGGTTAAGGCAGCTGAATCTGATGTGGCCAACTGTGTGATTCAAGTGCCAGCTCCACAGCTTGACAAACACTGGGCACAGGTGCACGTGTGCCCAAAGTCTTGAAAGGAAGGAGAAAGGGAGGAAAATGGGTTAAGATGTGACAATTCCCCATGAGGATGTCACAGTTTGAGTGCTGGACCTGGTGGCTTGCTTTCTCACTTGTCTTCTCTTGCTCTCTCTGCCTCCCTCTGATCAAATTTTAAAAATAAATGGAATGCATAATAAAATTAAATAATTCTTAAGGGAAAAAAAAGGACCACTACTTTCAAATTAGGTTAGAAATTAAAATTTTATATATGGGGCTAGCAGTTGGTGTGGTAATTAAGGCACTGGAGTTCCACATGGCTGACAGTGGTTCAAGTCCTGGACCTGGCCACTTGCTTTCTCATTTTCCTTGTCTCTCTCTGGCCAAATTATTATTATTAATTTATTTATATATAATAATTAGATTATTCTATTTTTTAATCTAATATATGCTTCTTACGAAGGATACCCTAAAACAAAATGGGTGTTTTTTTTTTTTATTTTAATCCCCAGAGGGCATGTGTGCTTGCCAGAGGGAGGGAAAATACCCCTTGACAAGTGTGGTAACACCATAATCCTTTTTCCTCCACTTCTCCACCGCCTCAGAATGTGGGGTATGTATATGCACCCAGCAAGTTTTCCACTTAGCCAAGGCCAGGATTCAAACCCAGCTGTTCAACTATAAGGGGCTCAGCTCCCAATGCACAGTGTTTAACAACTGCCACTGGGCCAGTCCAATGTTTCTGATTTTTAGAGATAACGACTTCTAGAAAACTAGAACCAGAAATTTGCTTCCTCAAAATAATGAAAAATATCTGTATTAAACCAATAACTAGTAAGAGAGGTCTTCAAAATTTCAGGGAAAGGCATATTGTGAAAAATTGGGCATGCTGGGACCAGCAGTTGGTATAATGGCTATGTTGCTCGACTCCCATGTAGTTGACCACAGTTCGAGTCCTGGACCTGGTAGCTTAAACTCACGCCAGGCACGTGTGTGTGCGTGCCCAAGATCCCAAGAAGAGAATGGAGGAGAAGGGATTACAGCGTGGCCATCCCCCTTCAGGGGGGTGATTTCTCGCTGTCTGTCTCTCTGGCGAGCACACGCAAGCCCTGTAGCAAAAACCACTCCAAAAAAAGAAAAAAAATTTGGGCATGGATTTTTTTATATTTTTGCACCAAAATAAATTCATATTAAAACACTGGACCAGCAGGTCGTATGGTGGTTAAGTGTTGTGGATGCCCACGTAGCCGACCACAGTTCAAGTCCCAGACCTGGCAGCTTGGTTTCTCATTTTCCCTCTCTCTTTGTGTCTCTCTCTGGTCAAATTAAAATAATAATAATAAATAAAATTAAATAAAAATAATTCTTTTAAAAAATAGTGAAACATTACAGGAATTCTCATTATAGTCATAGATAAAAAATGCATGCTAACATTGTTTGGAAGTTACAGCCAATGCAATATATGTGAAGAAGAAAAGAGAATTATTTGGAAAAGAGTCAAAACTGTTATTATTTGTGAGTACTATGACTGTGTATATAGAAAGCTAGTAAAGTCAACTGGAAACCTCATAGGATAAATCAGTTGAATGAATCCCTATAGAAAGATAGATTAAACACTAGGAGTTTTCCTATATACCAGCAATGACCAATCCAAATATAATAGAAAAACATAAAATATAGTAATAGCAACAAAAGTCATAAAATAGTAAACTGAATTGTGGGAAATATATACGAGAAATACTTTAAGACAACCAACATTTTAAAAAAAGATTTAAGAACTGATTCTTTTTATATAAAGAATGAATTTTATTTAACTTTATTTCTTTATTTAAATTTTGACCAGAGAGGGACGGAGCAAGAGAGGAAGGGAAACTGAGAAAGCAAGACTCCAGGTCTAGGATTCAAAACACAGTCCGCTATGTGGGAGTCCAGTGCCCTTAACCACCACGCCACCTGCCAGCCCCGAAGGACTGATTCCTAAGTGCTGAGTTAAGTGCTATGCAATAGAAAGTCAGATCCCATAAGGCCACCCATGGTTCGAATTCTGACCACAGAAACTTGGAAAACACACCAGGTGCATGTGGATGCATGCCCAAAATACTTACGGGATGGAAAAATGGAGGAAAGAGATTTATGATGTGGGGGAACCTCACATCCCATTGTGGGGTTTTCTCTCTCTGGTAAGTGTACGCAATCTCTGGCAATTAAAAAAAGAAAAAAGAAGAAGACTTGAACAGACAAATGTCCCATGTTTCTGAATAGGTTCCAAAACTCCAAAGCAATTTTCTTTTTTTTAACTTGACAAAACAATGTAATTCTTAGGCCATTGTATAAAAGAACTATGAGGGGACCAGCTGTTGGTGTGAACTTCCATGTAGTTGACCACAGTTCGAGTCCCGGATCTGGTGGCTTAAACTCACGCCAGGTGCATGTGTGTGTGTGTGTGCCCAAGATCCCGAGAGGAGAATGGGGGAGAAGGGACTGCAGCATAGCCATTCCCCCCCCCCCGGGGGGTGGTTTCTCGCTTTCTGTCTCTCTGTCTCTGTCTTCTGGTGAGCACACATGCCCTAAAGAAAAAACCTCTCAAAAAAAAAAAAAAAAAACTATGACAAAGCACTTCTCACAAGATATAATTATAAAGGCACAATCATTTGAATAATGTCTTTTGGCACAATATTAGAAAAATAAATCAATAAGATGTACATGTGAGAGCCCTAAGAAACTCTAGTATTACATAAACAGCAATGAAGGAAAAGATATCTAAGAAACTGCCTGTTTGAAAAAATGTCATTCTGTGTCAGCCTCTGACCTCATACCTAGTCTAGAGACAATACCCAAAAAAAGGAGCCAACAAAAACCCACAATCCAATTAAAGAATTAGATGCTACTAGCTATGGGGTAACTGGGTGACTATAGTTACACTGGAAAGGCCAGCCGGTGGCATGGTGGTTGGGGCAACTGGATCCCACATGGCTTGACTGCACAGTTCCAGTCCCAGACCTGCCCCGGTGCGTGTATGTGCTCGCCCAAAATGCCAGAGGAGAATGAATTGTGCTGTGGTCACCACTCTCCCCCCAGAGGGTAATTTCTCTCTTTTTGTCTCTCTCTCTCTCTGGCTGGCATACACACCCTGTAGC